ATCGCGGCTACTCTCCCCGGTGTACTGAGGAGTGTCATTGTACTTCCACTAACTGGCGATCTCCTCCGGATCCCACAGATAAGATGATGGTCGATAAGGGTCAAGTGGTGGTTCTGGCTCAGGCTCTGGGGCTGATGTCTAGCCTCGATGCACGTAAACGGCCGTCGGCAAGATGAGGTAATGGCCTGCAGTTAAATCAAACAAAGAAGGCGCATGAAAGATAATAATCTCATTGTGTTTCTTATTAAATCTCAAATTATACAAAAGCATCTTATCATCATTATTAACAATAAACTCATGTGCTACCATGCTCTTATAGTCTAGAAAGGTAGGAGGCAACAATTTTTCTTCTTTCTCAAAATGCCTAATAGGTATCCTGAAATGTTTAGCAAGACGTGCAGCATAGATACCTCCAAAGATGGGGCCTTTTGTACGGTTCAGGCTTAAACATTTAGCAATAATAGCACCCATACTAACAGAGTTATCATAGAATAAAGCATGGAACAAAATAATAATATCAGAGACACTAAGGTTTCCATAGTTTCCGCGACCAATTAAGCATCGACTAGCAAATATTGCAAAGTAGCGTAAAACAGGAAAATGTATGCTAGTAATTCTTGCATTAGAAACCTTCCTCGATTCCCCTACAGTAATAGTATCAATAAAACCATCCACATCTTTACGATGTGGTTCCTCTAAGGTGCCCTCGAAGGGTATTTTGCAAACAGCGCAAAAATCATGTAATGACATCTCCTTAGCCGCATCATATAAATGAAAAGCTACTGAAGGAGGTGAATTCTTAGGATAAAAGTAGAATTTTGCATGAAAGTATTGGTGAGTAAGATATACTATTCAGCATGGTCGTGGAGGAAGTCAGTGAGGCCCGCATTATCATCCAATGAATAAAAGTCATCATAAATCCCGGCTGCTCTTAAGAAATTATCACAAGGCCATTCACACGGCCGTACTTCCGCTACACGAGGAAGATTGTACTTGGCCTTTTTCTTTCTCCTTAGCTTGTTTATCCTTAGAGCCTTGGCTAGAAGAGACCCTCAAGAACAATCTCTTCATATTTTTCTGAAAAATTCTAAAAAATTAGTAACTCAAAATAAAAGTGAATCAAACTCGACAAAACTGATAGCAACAACTCCCACAAGTGCCTAGAGCCTATATCATGCATTAGAATTACTTGGGACCTCATAAATTTGACATGCAGGCTCGAGAACAGGGTCACCTAGGCAGCAAAAATTTGCAATGAATAAAGCACTAGAACAGAAACTAATTGGACCATTGGAGGAGTTACATACCAAGGAACAATCCCCCAAAGAAGTTTTGTGAATGGAGCTTTGAGCAAGGAGATCGAAAATGGCAGCAAAGTGAGCTAGAACTCGTGCTTAAGCTGGATGGTGATTTTTTTGGGAGGAAGATGAAGTGTGTGGGTGCAGGAATAAGTGGAGGGGGTCCACCGTGGGCCCACGAGGCAGGAGGGTGCGCCCTGTAGGGGTGGGCGCGCCCTAGACACTCGTGGCCAGGTGCCAGCTCCCCCTATTGTGTTCTCAGTGCCAAATATTCTCAAATATTCCAGAAAAAATCATACTAAATTGGCAGGGCATTTGAAGAACTTTTATTTTTGGGTATTTTTTATAGCATGGATAATTCAGAAAACAGACAGAAAATACTATTTTTGCTTTATTTATTCTAAATAACAGAAACTAAAAAGAGGGTATAGAAGGTTGTGCCTTCTAATTTCATCCATCTCATGCTCATCAAAAGGAAACCACTAACAAGGTTGATCAAGTCTTGTTAACAAACTCATTCCGAATAACATGGAACCGTAGAAATTTCGAAGAACACTAGGTTACCTCAACGGGGATATGAACATCCCCAATAATAAGAATATCATATTTCTTCTTGACAGTAGGAAGAGGAAATTCAAAACCTCCAATAATAATCAATGGAATTTTTCCAATAGAATTGATGCTATGAACTTGAGGTTGTTTCCTCGGAAAGTGTACCGTATGCTCATTACCATTAACATGAAAAGTGACATTGCCTTTGTTGCAATCAATAACAGCCCCTGCAGTATTCAAGAAGGGTCTACCAAGAATAATCGACATACTATCGTCCTCGGGAATATCAAGAATAATAAAGTTCGTTAAGATAGTGACGTTTACAACCACAACGGGCACATCCTCACAAATACCGACAGGTATAGCAGTTGATTTATCGGCCATTTGCAAAGATATTTCAATAGGTGTTAACTTATTCAATTCAAGTCTACGATATAAAGAGAGAGGCATAACACTAACACCGGCTCCAAAATCACATAAAGCAGTTTTAACATAGTTTCTTTTAATGGAGCATGGTATAGTTGGTACCCCTGGATCTCCAAGTTTCTTTGGTATTCCACCCTTAAAAGTATAATTAGCAAGCATGGTGGAAATTTTAGCTTCCGGTTAAGGATTCTTTCTTTTATTTGTAATAATATCCTTCATGTATTTTGCATAAGGATTCACTTTAAGCATATCAGTTAAGTGCATACGTAAGAAGATAGGTCTAATCATTTCAGCAAAGCCCTCAAAATCTTCATCATCCTTTTTCTTGGATGGCTTAGGAGGAAAAGGCATGGGTTTCTGAACCCATGGTTCTCTTTCTTTATCGTGCTTCCTAGCAACAAAGTCTCTCTTATCATAATGTTGATTCTTTGATTGTGGGTTACCAAGATCAACAGCAGCTTCAACCTCTACATCATTATTATTGCTAGGTTGAGCATCAACATGAACATTGTTATTAACATTATCACTAGGTTCATGTTCATCACCTGATTGTGTTTCAGCATGAGAAATAGAAATATCATTAGGATTCTCAGGTGTGTCTATAACAGGTTCACTAGAAGCATGCAAAGTCCTATCATTTTTCTTTTTCTTCTTTTTAGAAGAACTAGGTGCATCTAAATTATTTCTCTGAGAATCTTGATCAATTCTCTTAGGGTGGCCTTCAGGATACAAAGGTTCCTGAGTCATTTTACCAGTTCTAGTAGCCACTCTAACAGCAAAATAATGTTTATTATTTAATTCATCGAGCAAATCACTTTGAGCTTTAAGTACTTGTTCTGTTGAGTAGTAACCATAGAAGCATATTTACTAATGAGTAAAAGTTCACTTTTAACTCTAGCCATATAATCACTCAAGCGTCCAATCATGTAAGTATTACTCTTTAATTCTCTACCAACATAAGCATTAAAGTTTTCTTGTCTAGCCATAAAGTCATCAAATTCATCTGAACATTGGCTAGGAAACTTAGTAGAGGGGATTTCAACTTTATCATATCTATACAGAGAATTTACCTTTACTACCTATGTCGGGTTATCAAGACCGTGTATTTCTTCAACAGGAGGTAAATTCTTAACATCTTCAGCTTTAATACCTTTTTCTTTCATAGATTTCTTTGCCTCTTGCATATCTTCAGGACTGAGAAATATAACTCCCCTTTTCTCCGGAGTTGGTTTAGGAATAGGCTCAAGAGTTGGCTCAGGAAGTGTCCAATTATTTTCAATAGTCAACATATTATTCAATAGCAATTTAGCTTGGTCGACTATTCTTTCCCTAAAAACACAACCAGCACAACTACAAGTGGTCCTGGAAGCATCGGTAGTCCATTATAAAAGATATCAAGTATTTCATTTTTCTTAACAGGATGATCAGGCAAAGCATTAAGTAATCCGAGAAGCCTCCCCCAAGCTTGTGGGAGACTCTCTTCTTCAATTTGCACAAAATTATATATTTCCCTCAGCGCAGCTTGTTTCTTATGAGCAAGGAAATATTTAGCAAAGAAGTAATAAATCATATCCTGGGGACTACGCACACAACCAGGATCAAGAGAATTAAACCAAGTTTTAGCATCACCCTTTAATGAGAATGGAAATATCTTAAGGATATAATAGTAGCGTGATTTCTCATCATTAGTGAACAGGGCAAAAATGCGAACAGAGGCCGCGCACCAGGCAGGCCGGTATCTAGGCCATGAGAACGCCATGTGGATTCCCGCTCGCAGCGTATCCCTCGCGTATTTGATTTATTTTTGGCCTGTATTGGAGGAGCCAGGTCCCACGCACATGCAAAAGTCTATAGGCCTCTATCTCGCAGCTGACATGTATGAACAGAGCTTTAGCGAGCTGTACATGCTCGACCGGGGATGGGGGAGACATGTACGACGTGCTGGTAGCCTTCACAACCACAATCTTGTTCAATCGCGGGACGTGGCAGTTTGTCCACCAGCTAACACGCAAGTTGGTTTCCTTTAGGTACAGTTTGCTAAGCAGAACCAAATAAGCTATTTTGTTTCACTAATTGTCGGGTTCTTGCCCATGATTTTCACAAATGTCTGGGTTAGTAAGATGTCCCCCGTGCCTGCAGTACATTTACCATGATTCATGTCCTGTGATGATGGTTATCTAACACAAGTTTAACACTTGGCTGTAACATTTGATTGTTTCAAGTCAACGACGTGTTCATGTTTTAGGTGTGACGCCCGCTAATAACTATAGAGATATCATTAGCCAGTGCAGGATTAATGCGTGAGGCTCGCTGCTGTGCATCAACTTCCCGCCGCGCATCCCTGTTCTCTTTTTAGGGTCATTTGTCGTATGGGCATTTACTATGCCGTCACCTCACCCACAGTTGTCTCCATCTACCCCTGCCCTTGGCATTCATCTCTCGAGCCCCCCTTGTTCTTTCCCAGCATTTGTTCTGACGGAGCAAGCCGAAGCACCGACTCCCTCGTGCACGGGCATCCAGGCGACATCGAGGTTGATTCTTGGCTGGCAGCGTGCGGCGTACGGAAGAAGAGTTCTCCGCAAAGGTACCCACCCCTCGCCCCTCCTCTGTTTTTCGATATGTGTTGCCACATCCGCCCCTGTTCTTAGTGTTTTGCTCATCCCTAGCTCGCTTCTGTTCGCATAGGCAGAAGTTTTTTGCCGTGAGGAAGTTAGAGAAGTGAAGATGACAGATTTGTTTAGTGTGATACAAGCTACTATGGTGATAAATCGTGTAGAAAACAGTGACCAATACCCCGAAGATTGGGTTAGTGACGAGGATGGTTCAGGTGGTTCCACTGGATTACCAGGGACACCATGTTTTACCTCTAGGCTTTCATTGTTCAAAGTTGGTTCGGTTGTTGCCAAGTTCAGTGATTTCAAGCGGCAGCTAGTTATGGAGACTGGTTTTGGGGGGGTTCTAGAGGTGAAGGCATGGCAGAAGATTAATCTGAAGTATAGTGCTTTTTTAATGGATCGAGTGGATGTAGAATCCAGTACAATCAACATTGAGGAACAGGGCATGCTTGAATTGTCCAAACAGAAGCTTAATTATGTTTTTGGCATCCCCTCCGGTGAATTCAATATAAACGGCGAAGGTGTCGAGCCATCAGAAGCCTGCATCGAGTACACACGAATGGCAGCATCATTCAGTGACAAAGGCACGCATAGCCTAAAAGCAGCTGAAAATGTTTTGCTTGGAGTGATAACAGAATCGTCATCCCAAATACAGCAGGACTATTTCAAGATTGCATTTGTTATTTTTATAATCGGTCATGTGCTGGCTCCCACCTCGAAACATGATTATATATCCATAGACTTCTGGGCTGCACTGAGTGACATTGGCAAGATCAAGAGTTGGAACTGGGGACGGTATGTACTGAAACACCTGTTTCAAGCCGTCAGAAAGTTCAAGACAGATGTTTCAAAGAGAAACCCAACCATCCACATAGTTGGTTGTCACTTGTTTTTGCAGGTATGTGGTCCAGTTTGCACAAACTACTGAGCTTTTTCACATTTCAAACTTCTTGCTGTGCCAATCTCCCGCCCATGCTAATGCATTTGTGATATGTTGTTGTTACATACAAATTAGGTTTTTGTTCTCGATTGTCTCGACCTTGGTATACTAAACAAGCCACGAGAAATAACCCCAGCATAGGTTTGTATGATTATGATTCAATGAGGAAGATGGTTGAGAAAATTGTAGTGAACATATCTCTTGGGGAGATTTCATACCACGGGGGAGCGGTAATTATCGTATTTTTAATTATTGAAGTTTGCGCTTTGTGATATATTTTTGTGTACTTTGTTTTTTCACACACCATATTAAAAATTCTCATTGTTTTCATTAGGTCTGGCCTGAGCTATCTGTTAGCTAGCTGATTGAACGCCATGCGAAAGATTCATGCTCCATAAATCCCCCCCAAACAAGCAACAACCTCTAAAAGAGCAAGCATACCATCCATGTCCATGCTACGTTGTAATTACACAAGGAATGGCCCACAGGAATTTTCAAATTACATCCGCACAAAATATCCGAGCATAGTAAGTGTGCCAAAAAACTGACCATCAAATACAAGCTTCATGTTGCCCTATGATGACATAAATTCATGTCTTGTGTCTAAAAATTTATCTCTATAACAAACATCTAGTCAGCAGAGAAGCTGGGTATTCTTCTCCGTGAGCAGAATGCACATGGTCTCGCCAATATAACAGAAATGTGCCAAGCATTCCAGACCAACATGTTCACTTTCACTGACAAGCTTATGGCCTGTCTAGCAGAAAGTTGTACCTGCTGCAAGGCATTTGGCCGCAAATCTTGCATTTTGAATGGTGAAGGCACAACCAACTGTCAGCCACATCCTACAACATCAACAGACCAGAACCAATTCAGCACTTCTTTAGTAAGCAAGGTTGGGCCACGCTTGCCTGCACCAGGCCACCATGAAGGTACGTCAGCAACATAAAGCTTTTCCAAAATATTTTCCAAGCAACAAAACAATCCCAACATCCTTCATATTATTACTTTCGCAGGAGCCATGTATGCTACCAGAACAGCGTCTAGAAAAAGGGAAGGAAGTATATCATCTAGTGTGCACTCTGGGTTAGCAAAGAAGCCATGCTCACGCGATGCACAACCGGTATCATCACTAGCACCAACACATGAGATTGACAAGCAAAGCGAGATGGCCATAGCATAGGATGCGTCCGTTATGGAGATTGCTAGCACGATTGTCATCATGTATGATGATCTAATGGCCATTCTTGTAACACAGCTGAGATCCGGCCATCTCCTGAGTACATATTGTTTGGATCAACTACAGAAGGCGCACCTTTGAAGATTGTCCTTCCTAAATGCAATTTCGGCAGAGACCCATGGGTTGTTGGTACAGTAGCCGCCCCACCACCCGAGACAGCTCTCAGAGCTATAAGAGACTAGATGGCAGCAGCTTCTCCCTTAAATCGTCAGAGGCAAGCATAACCACTCAGCAAACATACACTGATGGGTCTGTAAATTTTCAGAGGCAAGCACTAACCTTTGCCATTCATCTTTTCTGATTAATAGGCCATGGGTTGTACACCCCAAACCTTGTTTCATCTTAGTGGAGGGCTTAGATATTCAGCAATAGCTTGTGGCACACGAGAAAATGTCCCATGAAATTTGTACGTCCATCTTCCGCGGGCTTGCCCAACTTGACATGTGCTTCTCAAAAGACACTCCCGGGACGATATGGAGGAAATACATCAAGCCTGATTTTGCGGTGAGTGAGACCATCACACAAAGCCCCAATCTGAAAATTATGACACATTTTTACTGACCGCAAAACTTTTTCAAATGTGCAAACAACTGTTACGTCTAATGCCGACCCATTGACCGTGCACTCCATTAGGGCTAGCTTCCAGGAGGGAACCGCCTCTTGCAACCCAGCATCATGTCGCATGGTAGTCCGACATCATTCAAACACTTTCCTTTTTTGTGCAACATTACATCCACATTGCGAATCACTTATTTTTTTTCTATGTTCATTTGGTAGTGGTTTATTCCAGCAATTCTCCCAAATGGCTGGGTGGTTTATGCATTTGACATGCTGCACAAGTGAATCGTTGTTTATGACCTTGTTGTTGGTCCATTTAGATACAGTAACCGCCGAGTCAGCATGCATGAATTTGTGAGCAACAAACTTAATGCTGCTTTGTTCAACTGCATCTACAGTTTTTTCAGTTCATGGCATTGTGAATCAACTCACTGGACACTTACATTTCCAATCATAATGAGAGAACAATTTCACAAGTAAGCCCCCCTGATCCGCCACTGCCTATACATGAACATCCACTATCCTTGTCAAGTAATTCTCACTTGTTGGATTTCATTATTTATTTTGATATGCAGGGATTAAGCCGGATTGTGTGCCACTTTTTTGCAAGGAACTATGATGGTGACAAGTTGCAAATCCCTCTCAGCAAAGTAAGCTCTTCAGATTGAATGGAACACCAAGTCCCTGAGGATGATTTAATTACTCAAAAAAACTAATCTCTCACCGACTATATTATCTCGTAGGAAACACTCGTATTGCATAGCAACCTCATGTTGTACGAGCTGATGAGGACGCAAGGAAATCAAACAAAAGCTGCCAGCAACTCGCTCGAAGCAATTAAAGGGTTGTTTGTCGTTTTGTAGGCAAACATTGCTGTTTTAATGAAGAGGTAGCCATTTGTCTGTCTGCCATTACTAGATACAGCATTTGTGTGTGTGGCATCTTCCCATTTTAATCCCATGTTGTAATGAAGCTTATCAGAGCTAAATGCAAACAAGTTAGGACAAACCAGTTTTCATCTGATGTAGTTACAAGATAGACATGGGGATACATGTTTGGACCGTAAGATATGTTCCAAACTGGAGTTAAGGCATAGAAACATTTGGAACTTCAAAGTGCAGCCCAGCAATATATTTGTCCTTGCCCATAATAGACATGCAGCAAAAAATACGAGGATGAAATAGTTAACACACCCAGCCAAAACAATTGGCAACAGGAAGATGCAATAAGTTGCATGTACGCCGATCTCCAAATGCCAACATGCTACGGGGAACATCATGGCAATCTAAGAAAACCAAGTACAACAAATCACCCACAGGATCAGTGCCCTTACCCAGAAAATCTTGTTAAATCAACTATAAGAAATTAGGCTCGAACGGTGCAGTTTTCTTAGTGCCACAGGCATTCCGTCGATGTCCAACCACCCCACAGTTGCTACATTTCGGCAATTTCCTTGGAGCCTTTGGAAAATCCCCTCTTTGTGGGCGGGTTGTGCATTTGTGACCTTGCAAATTGTATAGAATCTGGACCTCTTAAGATGATTCTCATAAGGAGCTTTGTCTCGACTTGTCGTTGGTCTCCCGATCTGTCGTTTTTTCTGATGCACACCCACACCTAAACAATTTGAATCAGCATCTCCATTATCCACATCTTCACGACCATTTTCCTAGATCACCCCCTTTGTAGCACTGGCTACCAAAAGTTGTAGCTTCTCTCGCTCCGCGAGCCCTAAACCATCCTTTTCTACACTCAAAGGCAGCAGAGTAGCATGGACCTCCTTCATCATACTCATGAAAACTTCATAACATTCAACATTGCTATCGCCAAGCACCACACGCTCAAGCGCTTTCATGTACATAGTGTGATGCATGAATGTATCACTAGCAGGAGGCCCTCTGTCTTTCTGGTACCTGACCAAGTGTTCCGGGAGAATGTCACGAGCCTGCCTTGTCCAGCGCTTCATTATGTGCTTCTCAGGTATTTTTGCCAAACGGAAGTGAACCATCACCTGCATAAAATTATACCGCACATCAATCAACTAGTCTCATATGGACCAACCCAGTGACAACATGATTTTTTTTAGTCATCACAAAGGATACAAACCTGCAAAGTATGGCAGCACACACTAGGCCAGAATGTTCAAACATGACACAATCGCAGCTGAAAAAACTTTCATCCTCATTGACTTCAATTTTGAACTCGACTTTACTCCATTTTCTCTGTTCGCTGCTTCAACATGTGTCGACTTATAAATCCTCCTAGGAACAATCTCATCCAGTACATGTGCACCACATTTGTACAACTCTTCACCAAACTTCTCAAACATGGCCCTCGTGTAAACTTTGCTAGCATGCCTCTCCAACAGAAGGTTAAATCTAAGAGATACACCACTCTGCAAGGGGAATAGACACACACATTCACAAATGTTAGGATGTCAACCCATTGCCAAGTATGAAGGTATACAGAGAAAGTAGGACATTTTAAATACTCGTTTTCAATGAACACAAATGCAGGGGGAACGATGGAGATTTTTACCAGTGATGTTCTTTTCTCCTGGAAGCTTTCTTCAGATTGTCGGTCAAATTGAAGCTTCTCAAACTGCTTGAGGAATAGATGCACTGGACATCCTGCAGGCATGTACCCCTTCAGCGGGTGATTTGCGCTCTCACTCCTTTGTGTGCTCATCATTTTAGCACAGAAGACACCCATGAAATATGGTTTAGCTCATTTATGCCGGACTTTATATATCTACGTCAGAAACGGATGTTTCTTGAGTGAGTATTTGTCCAACATCTGCTGCCACCCTTGCTCAAATTCCTCCTCCGCGATCATGTGATGTACAAGCTTGTGAAACTCCAGTTTGAATTCACTGTTCTTTCTCCAAAGCACACCCATTGACTCTTTTGCTTTTTCAGGACATGCCACTTGCACCAACGGTGTACTGTGTTTGGAATTTCTACCTCAATTGCAATTTCCATAGAACGAGCTTGATCTGTAAGTACAGTTTGCGGATGCTTCCCACCAACCATACGTATGAACTCCCGGAACACCCACCTAAAAGATTCTTCTTTCTCATCTCTCATCATGACCCCTCCAAAGATTATACTCCGAAAGTGATTGTTGACAGCAACAAAAAGCCCAAACGGCATGTCATATAGGTTGGTCCTGTATGTTGTGTCAAATGTAATTGCATCACCGAAATACCGATACTGATCACACCCCCTACTTGTAACCCACATGGGTGTCTTTATCCTGATGTCTTCATCTACTTCCACGGTGTAATTGAAGTCGGGATCATTTGCTTTCATATCAGCCATTCCATTGTTTTCATAGCATCAGAGTCTGACTAGTCCTTGTTCAACTTCCTACACAGTGTCTTCAATGAACGCTTTGTAAATGGCACATTTTCAACTGAGCCAAAAAAACTACCCACAATGCTGAAAACCTTCCCAAGACCAACATTATTATCGCGGAGTTGTTTCACTAGATCCTTTGTGTATCTATCAATGTGCCTGTGTGACTTCCAATGCATTTTTTCTCCACATGTCACATACAGCAGGTGGTTATGGCCAGATTTGAACTCTGATATGTACCAACCGTTGTCCTTTGAAAGGAGCAATATGATCATGGCTTCACACCCGCACCTTGATGATTGACTGCTTTCCTTCATTGGTTTGCCCTGCAGACACGTTAGCAAGTACAGAATAAAATGTTAGCTAGAGATTACCCAATAAACGTTAGCAAGTTGTAACTGTTATCTCTAGTGTTTTGTTTTTCACACCGCAGGTCAAACAAGTTGTAACTGTTATCTCTAGTGTTTGGTTTGTCAAGTTGTAACTGTTATCTCGGTGTGAAAAACAAAACACTAGAGATAACAGTTACAACTTGACAAACGAAACCAACACATTATAACGCCACAATAAATCGGTAATTGACTAATGCATCTACAACCAAATGATCTTGCGTAGCTGTCAAAGACAATTCCCCAAACAAAATAGATCCAACTTAAACTTG